TTACTTCTATATAGACATAACCGATAATAAAAAAGTAAATATATATATATATATATATAATGAAAAAAAAAAAAATTTTATAATCATAATTTAAGTGTGTTGATTTGCAATTTTCTCTCGATAATCAATTCAGGAGGTTACGCTTGTTTTCATTAATTAACTAGTCCATTTGTTGCGTTTACAGCCTGTGACTGCCATCCGATCGGTGCTTCTGGGAAGACCTGTAACCAGAGCAGCGGCCAGTGTCCCTGCAAAGACGGCGTAACCGGTATTACTTGCAACAGATGCGCCAGGGGCTACCAACAGAGCAGATCGCATATTGCGCCTTGCATCAGTAAGTACACGCCCACGCGCGCACTCACCGCGCTTGATACCCGGTTTCATTGCCGCATTTATCTTTTATTTCGATTTCGTTTCCGCCGGCGCTCGTCATCCCCTCCCCCTCCCCCTCCCCCCTTTTCGAGCCAAAGCCTCGTTTTGTACGCCGGGCATACCGCGCATGCAACGCGCAAGATAGTATTATAGATAGTAGATATGAGATGAGTATTATATATACAGAGAATAGGAGAAATTCTGTATCTTTCCGCGAGACGATAAATTTAGGTAAATGTAATATGATAAAATACATACTATATATGTATAAAACGGACGGGTTTTTTTAATCGTATAGACAATAGAGAGAATCGTGAGCGTAGGATCTCCTAGCGCCCTATTTTTATAAATTTTTTTGAATTAATAAATCATTTTTATGAAAATAAATGAATTAGATAAAGAAATTAATCATTCTTAAAGGAAATTAAAAAAATCGCTGTACAAAGTGAATTTTTTGTTCATTTCTTGGAAATATCTGAACTCTTTTGCGGTGTTTTTAGAAAGAATGTTTTTGAAGCAGATTCAGAACTCAAAACATACTCAACATACTTAAAACATACTGAAAGTTTAAAAGACAAATGATAATACATGTTCGTGCAAAATACGTATTAGATATGCGTATCTTTTCCTGTCAGAGGCGATTTATCTCGTTATTACCGATATATCCGCTTACCGTGCCGTGATACAAAAACGCACAAAGTTGTTTGGCCGGAAAGAGAATACAAAAAGTCTATCAAGCCAAGATTTCACGTTCGACTTTTTTAGTTCGCTACCAGGGTGGCAGGAAGGTCGGACAAAAAAGACACCAGAGTTACTCGACCACACCCGTACTGCCCTCGAGAATGATCGATCGATCGATCAAGGGGAACACGCGACGATCTCGACGCGGGATCTTCTCGCGCTTGTCCAATTAGGCGAAATTTGCGAAAACGTGTGTGCGACCATCGGATCGGGGCCCACCCTCCGCTTCCACCGTCACGGCTTTTAGTCCCAAGTCGAGTTTCAGTCAAGAATGAGTGTTCGTGTCGCACGAAAGATCGCATCGTTGTCCGCTTCTGAGTACCTTCAGGATTCGATGTTTGTTCAAATTTTATCATGTATAAAAGTCTCACAGGCAACGGGAAAAAAATAACGGGATAAGCACGAATAATGTTGTCGCTTAATTAATCATATACTTTGGGCGATGCGCTTCCAGATATAAAATAAAAAAAACTTCTTAAATTTTAAATATATCAAAAGAAAACTTGCAAAAACAGTGTCCTTGTGGGTTCTGAATCTGCTCGTTAATAATTTATATATATTTCTTACAAGATTGGAAAATAGAATATTTTTTGCAACCGCTATCTCTAAGAGAGAAACAACTGATCTGAACACAAAGTTCTCGGTATGAATACCTGCGGGATTAACTCAACCTTCCGTCCAGGCTCGTACTTCTCATTTATCTCGTATTCTTCGCAGAGATACCCAGGGTCGTGCAGACGCAAGGCATGGCCGGTGAGGAGAGTGGCGAGCACGAGGATGACGACGAGGAGCGCGGATACGACGGACGAGCTGGTAAGTAAGTGCAAAGTAAACTCGAAGGTGCGTATACACTAAGCAAATGAATAACGAACGAACAGCGAACGCGAATCTTCGGGCATTCACATTCGTGTTTTTATTTGTCATGCGTTTTCCTTCGAGCACCGGTTAGATTTGGCGTGATCGCTGCCATACCATCTATGGATTCAATCACATCTAATCTCGTAAATCAATCAATATCATCATATACCTTAAAGGTTATTTACATTTAACTATATATAAAATAAAATAAAAAAGATTCTTCCAAAGAAATGCGTTTTGCAAAATAATTTTCCTAATGATATTTAATGAATTTTAAATGATGGATTTTTTTGAAAAATATTAAGCACGGAAATTAATTCAATGTTTTTTTTTTTACAAAATCAAAACTATGGATCAGATAATATTAATTTAATTATCAAAATAGTTCATATTATTTTCTATAACATTAATGCACTTTTCCATCAACTGTCGAATCTTAACGCAAAAAAATGGTGATAAAAATGGTGATTTAATAGGAAAAAGTAAATTTAAAGGCACGGAATTAATTTACACACTTTTAACTTTTATATCAGGTCATATCGATATTAATAATAACTGTGTTAATTTAAATAAATTTATTAAAATGTTAAACATTTAATTTCTATTACTTTAATCACAATAATTCGTTTTTTTGGTTCGTTGTACGTTCGTTTAGTGTACACGCATTTATGTACGCGGCTATGTATTTCGCTCATTTACGTTTAGCTATTCTTCGACCGAACTACTTGCGTTCGTTTCGACGTCGCGTCGAAGTCTCCGCTGGTGACACACTGGGCGACATAAAAATCACTGGCGAGCGATGGAACGTAAGAAGTTAAGATGAATGGGAAGGAATGGAAGGAGAGAGAGAGAGAGAGAAAGACAAATAACATCTCGAGCCTCGAGAGGCAAGCGATGTTGGCGTAGGTCGGTATTCTAATGTCACGTATTCAGTACTAAATGTCCCTGTCTGATTCTGAGTTACATTTGTCCTGTAAGACGATTTAATGTGGACGTGAGATGAGAGTCAAGCAAATGCATTTAGCGCTTATAAGTGTAAGATAAATACCAGCACAATGATCTTCCAAGTAATTTGCGACAGTGTCATAAGTCTCTTAACCATGAAAAAAATGTTATTTCGAGAAGATGTTTAAAAAAACATATGCTGCGATATTAAAACGTTCTAAAATAAATTTTTTTTTTTAAAGAAAAACTTATACTTTATATTTACAGTCGTGAAAATTATTATAAACAGTTAATAACTGTGAGTTAATACTTTCAAATTTGTCAACGACATTTTTCAAATGGGATCCATATTTTTATCGCGTTGATATTTCGCATTTATATTATTTTCACAATATTTCACTCCATTTTATGAGTAAAATATTCTTAAAAACAGAAAACTGAAAAAAGAAAATAAAGAAAATTTTACGATACTTTATTTCAAATTACCAAAATTTCTATCAATTTTTTGGCTTATTTTTGAGAAACATTAATATAAATACTGGCATCGACGTATTAAAGGCAAACAACAATTTTCATATTTTTATTGTCACTGAAAAAAATTTAAAATTTGTCTTTGAAATCAAAATTTGTAATGAGAAACTGCTGAATTTTTGATTACACATTGCATATGTAATCGAATAAATATATAAATATAATATAAATATAAATTAATATAATTTAATATAATATTAATATAATATAAATATAAATATAAATTAATATAAATATAAATATATAAATATAATATAATATAAATTACGGTACGGATCTGTGCGCGATAGCGTTGTTATTTCCGCAAATTTAACAAGATCAGGATGGAAGGAAGTCGCTCTGGATACGAGCTTCATTGCCACGTGGTAAAATGGAATGCGGGCGCTATATTAATTTAAGCAGACAGAGTCGGTGAGCGAGTGAGAAGGAGAAAGAGGGTCGGAACGTCTAGCCGCTCGATCGCAGCCTCTCAGCCACCCCTAATGGCTTAATTAAAACTACCCTCGCTTGCGGCTCGCCCGTTTACTCCGACATTTTCACTCGCGTAGATAATATGCGATTTTCAGCAAACGATCTTGAGCAAGTAAGCGAATCTTCATCCTTTACTTGAGACAATCGATGAAATTTCTCTGAATTTAGATTTTAAAAGCATCACGCGATTTTCTTCCAAATATTGACATTATATAGCAAATGTAAAATTGAAAAAAATTACTAATACTTATCTAAAATAAATTATTAATAATATAAAAAATTATTTTAGTTTTTACTTCTGTGTCCTATGAAAAATTTATATTGCTTGAATTAAATGTTATATTAGAAAAGTATTAAAAGATATGTATGTTTAAGAAAGAGGAGGGACTAAATAAATGAAATATTAAATTAATTAAATTATATATATATACTATATATATATATATATATATATATATATATATATATATATATATATATTGATATAGTTACTGTCCTGGAACTTTAACCAGAAAATTTAATCTCTTAATTTAGTATCGTCCCCATTTGACACTGTCTTAAAAACGCTGTAGAGACTATCTTCTGATCTTATGTAGAAAAATGATTTCTTCTTCCTCTAGTTTAATTTGCATGCAAATTAGTTTCTTCTATCACTAATTACAGTTTCGGAATAAAAATGTAAAATTTGAAATAACACATTTAATATCACCAAAATATAACAAAATATTTGCGTGTATAATGTAAATAACTTTCTTAAATAAACTTCTAGATTATTCTTAGATCATATTTAAAACTTAAATTTAATTATAACTTTATAAGTATAATTTGCATACTGCATAATTAATTTTATCTATCTTCATCCATTTTTTTATTTTTTTTGCATTATATTAAAATTATTTCGTTCATTCAATTATTGTATTCATTTCAATGATTATCCAATATGAATTCCACATCGTGTATATCACGGGATAAAAATCGGGCTTTCACTTGAGAATGTCCAATACCGTTACAATAATCAGATAAGATGTTGATTGTAAACTTGTAAGACTGTACTGACAATGAGCCTCGCATTGACGACGGATCGAATGATTTTTCCAGGCTGGAAATTGACGGCATGAAAAGCGAGAGGTAGTTGTCGCCCCCCCCCTCCCCCTCTCGACTTCTCTCGTTGCATCGAATGCACGCGTTTCTACCCACGCGTGCTCCATATGCAGAGAGCGCAGATTACGTCTCGACGCTCCCTGCATTTCGAACGCGAGTGAAATATCGACGCGCGAAGAGGAGTACGCGCGATCGAGTTTGCACCTGGAGCTAGATACGCCCCGTAGTACGATACTAATTATCAGACACCGCAATCACGGGGAAAATAATTTTTGCTTAACCAATCTTGTCTTGTCTTGTCCGAATTCAAGATAAGGATATTTGATTTTTACAATTGGGAGTTATAAGGCGACAATTTATCTTATGTTCAACGCAAAGGAAAGAAATACTTTTCTGAGAACAATACGTAAAGCCTCCTACTTTAAGCTCTGAGATTGAACATAAGGCATTATAAGAAATATATTTAGATATTTATAAAACGATTATATATTTGTTATACAAATTCTCGAAAAATTATATAATTCTCAAAACTTTGCCTTGCCCGAGCCAATAGAATATTTAACTTAATATTTTATAGCGACGCTGGGTGCTCATTTTTTGCTAATCCCGCGATATTCAGTAGTCGAAAGCTCCTGCGAGCTAAGTAGTCGGAGCGGAATTATTGCGCTTGGGCTCGACTTTGTTCGCGCTCATTTTTTTTTTGCTATCGCGCTCGCGTTTCTTTACGAGACGCATAGAAATTTCGCCGCCTACGCGGCACGCATAATTCCGCTTGTAGATTACACGGCGACGTCACCTACTCGCAGGAGTGAAATATCGGCGCGAGAAGGCGAGTAGTATCGTAATCGAATTTACACCTGGCGAGTGTCGCGCCGAGTGGCGCTGTCGCTGTAAATTCTTGCGGGGGAACCGCCGCAGGTACGGTCCGCGTAAATTATCTGCGATAATAGGCCTCCTGGAAATACTCTTCTCTCGCCGAAACCTCTTCTCCTCCCTCGCGAAATCACGATCTCGACCTCTACGTCTCGATAATATCGCGATAATACCGCGAGTCAATGATCTTGTACAGCGGGTGTCTCCAGACATGGATAATATAGATAACGGATAACGGAAGTGACGGTTATTTTAACGAAGAAACTTTGATAGTTATATAGATATTCAACATCGCGAATTAACATAATTTGTCCATGTACCGTTCACGTACCATAATTGGATCTTGAACCAATTCCCTTGTTCCATTCTTGAATTTAGTATTATAATACGAGATCAAAAACGAGTCTTTTTTTTATATTTTAATGTAAAAATTTTAGATTAATTGGTAAAATATAAGGAAAATATTATGAAGAATAATTTGGAAAAAATTTTGCTTAACAAAAATGATAATTTTAGCGAGATTTCTGACAGCAGAGAATTATTTGATAGGTCGGAGACATCTTGTATAACGAGTCGATTTTTAATTAAATCGCGTTGGCTAGCTAGGAGTGTTAAAAAACACCGAACCGAACCGGTATCAGCCGATTTATACGTATACATCTGTTTGTATCTCAAACAACGATCAAGATTAAGCCGATCTTGATTTTCACGTCTTCGAAATTTCATTAGGACGAAGTCCCACCGATCACGCTTTATGCTCTCGTCGCGTGCAGGTTTCAGACTTCATTACCGGTTTTCATTCTCGCGCACTTCTTCTCTCGTTACTTCGTCCGACGGCAAAGCGAGGCTGACTTATCCTTTTATTTTTCAATTCCTGCCACTTTAACTTTGCAATTTAGCGCAGTTCGATCTACATTGCCATGTAACTATCTTACGAGTATATTATATTATCGTACTCAACGAATCGACAAGTATAGAAAGAGAAATAACAAACTATCAGAAAACATCAGAACTTGTACCTGTAAAGGTACAAG